ACTTTGGGGCCTTTCAAATGTAAGTCCACATCAGGCATGGAGATCTTGGGGGTCTTAAAGTGCATGTCTGGCATCTTAAACTTGGGGCCTTTCAACTTTCCTTCTGGACATTCAATATCAATATCACCAACATTAACATCCAGCTTAGGTGCCTTGACATCAATTTCAGGACCTTTCAAGTCTCCTTCCACTTTGGGAAAAGAAACATCTACATCAGTTTTCAGTTTGGGGGCTTTCAGATTAAGTCCAACATCAGGCATAGAGATTTTGTGTGTCTGTATATTCATGCTTGGCATCTTGAATTTAGGGCCCTTTAGTTTTCCCTCTGGAACTTCAAGGTTCACATCTGCAGCATCAATGTCCATCTTGGGTCCTGAGATATCAATGTCAGCCTTAGGCAGGTTCACATCCACTTCTGGGCCCTCTCCTTTGAAACCAGGCATGCTGAACTTGGGCATTTTCACCTTGGGCATCTTCAGGTGCCAATCTGGACCATGAACTTCCACATCTGGTGCATTAATGTCAACTTTTGGTCCTTTGACATCAACATCAGGAGCTTTAATCTCTCCCTCTACTTTTGGAACTGTAACATCATAATCTCCTTTCATTTTAGGACCTTTCAAATGCAAACCAACATCAGGCATGGATATTTTCTGAGGCTTTATATTCATTTCTGGCATCTTAAATTTGGGACCTTTTAGTTTTGTATCTGGACCTTCAATATTCACATCTGGAACTTCAACATCCACCTTGGATCCTGAGACATCAATGTCGGCCTTGGGCAGGTTTACATGTACTTCTGGACCCTCTCCTTTGAAGCCAGGCATGCTGAACTTGGGCATTTTCACCTTGGGCATCTTCAGGTGCCAGTCTGGACCATGGACGCCAACATCTGGAGCACTAATGTCAACTTTGGGCCCTTTAATGTCAACATCTGGCACTTTCACTTCACCTTCTACCTCAGGCAAAGATACATCCATATCTCCCTTTAGTTTGGGCCCCTTAAGATTCAGGTTTACATCAGGCATGGAGATCTTGGGGGCCTTGAAGTGCATCTCTGGCATCTTAAACTTGGGACCCTTCAGCTTCCCTTCTGGACCCTCAAGGCTCACATCAGGGGTTTCAATGTCCACCTTGGGTCCTGAAACATCAATGTCTGCTTTGGGCAAGTTGACATCTACTTCTGTACCTTCTGCTTTGAAACCAGGCACGCTGAACTTTGGCATTTTCATCTTGGGCATCTTCAGGTTCCAGTCAGGGCCACGAACATCCACATCTGGGGCATTAATGTCCACTTTGGGCCCTTTGATGTCAACATCTGGCACTTTCACTTCACCTTCTATCTGGGGCACAGATACATCCACATCCCCTTTGACTTTGGGGCCTTTCAAGTGTAAGTCCACATCAGGCATGGAGATCTTGGGCGCCTTAAAGTGCATGTCTGGCATCTTAAACTTGGGGCCTTTCAACTTCCCTTCAGGAGCCTCAAGACTTACATCAGGGCCTTCAATATCCACCTTTGGTCCTGAGACAACAACATCAGCCTTGGGCAGGTTCACATCTACTTCAGGGCCCTCTGCTTTGAAACTGGGCATGCTGAACTTGGGCATTTTCATCTTGGGCATTTTCAAGTTCCAATCTGGGCCATGAACATCCACATCTGGAGCATTAATGTCCACTTTGGGCCCTTTGATGTCAACATCTGGTACTTTCACTTGACCTTCTATCTGAGGAACAGATATATCCACATCCCCTTTGACTTTGGGGCCTTTCAAGTCTAAGTCCACATCAGGCATGGCAATCTTGGGAGCTTTGACATGCATCTCAGGCATCTTAAACTTAGGACCCTTCAGCTTCCCTTCTGGACCTTCAAGGCTCACATCTGGGACCTCAGTGTCAACCTTGGGTACTGAGATGTCAATGTCAGCCTTAGGCAAGTTCATATCCACTTCTGGGCCTTCTGCTTTGAGGCTGGGCATGCTGAACTTGGGCATTTTCATCTTTGGCATTTTTAGGCTCCAGTCTTGGCCCTGAACATCCACATCTGGTGTTTTAATGTCTACCTTGGGACCCTTCATGTCCACATCTGGAACACTCACTTCACCCTCTATTTTTGGTGCGGATATATCTAGGCTTCCTTTCATTTTGGGTCCTTTAAGATCCAGGTCAACATCTGGTAGAGACATCTTAGGAGCTCTGAAGTGCATCTCAGGCATCTTAAACTTAGGACCTTTCAACTTCCCTTCTGGTCCTTCAAGGCTCAGATCTGGAGCAGTAATATCTACCTTTGGTGCAGAAATGTCCACATTTGCCTTGGGCAGGTTCACATCTAATTCTGGGGTCTCTCCTTTGAGACTGGGCATGCTAAATTTGGGCATTTTAATCTTTGGCATCTTCAGGTTCCAATCAGGACCATGCACTTCAACATCTGGGGCACTGACATCTACTTTTGGGCCTTTCAGGTCTGCTTCCAGCTTTGGTACTGTTACATCATACTCTCCTTTCACCTTGGGACCTTTCATATGTAAATCCACATCAGGCATGGAGATCTTGGGGGCCTTGATGTTCATCTCTGGCATCTTAAACTTGGAACCCTTCAGCTTTCCCTCAGGTCCTTCAATATTCACATCTGGAACTTCAACATCCACCTTGGGTCCTGAGATATCAATGTCAGCCTTAGGCAGGTTCACATCCACTTCTGGGCCCTCTGCTTTGAAACCAGGTGTGCTGAACTTGGGCACTTTCACCTTGGGCATCTTCAGGTGCCAGTCTGGTCCTTGAACATCCACATCTGGGGCATCAATGTCAACTCTGGCACTTTTAAGTTCAACATCAGGAACTTTAATTTCACCTTCAGCCTTGGGCATTGTAACATCATATTCTCCCTTTACATTAGGGCCTTTCAAATGTAAGTCCACATCTGGCATGGAGATCTTTGGGACTTTGATATTCATCTCAGGCATCTTAAACTTAGGTCCTTTCAATTTCCCTTCTGGTCCCTCAATGCTAACCTCTGGAGCACTAACATCCACCTTGGGCCCAGAAATGTCCACATCAGCCTTGGGCAGATTCACATCCACTCCTGTGCCCTCAGCTTTGAACCCTGGCACACTGAATTTGGGCATTTTCATCTTGGGCATCTTCAAGTGCCAATCTGGGCTATGAACATCCACATTTGGGGCATCAATGTCCACTTTTGGGCCTTTCAGTTCTCCTTCAAGCTTTGGTACTGTGACATCATATTCCCCCTTTACCTTTGTGCCTTTAAAATGCAAATCTACATCAGGCATAGAGGCTTTTGGTGTCTTGACACTCACATCAGGCAGTTTAATATCAGGGCCTACAAGTTTGACACCCAGATCTTCCATGTTGACATTTGGGGCTTCCACATTGACCTTAGGCCCTGAAATAATGACATCTCCTGTGGGTAGAGTCACGTCTACATCTGGGCTTTCACCTTTGACTCCTGGAGTGCTGAACTTGGGCATTTTCATCTTGGGCATTTTCAGGTTCCATTCGGGGCCATGAACTTCCACATCTGGAGCACTGACATCCACTTTAGGCCCTTTGACATCAACTTCAGGGACTTTCCCTTCTACTTTTGGGAGTGTGACATCTACACCCCCTTTCACTTTAGGTACAGTAGCACTTAAGTCTACATCTGCCATAGAGATCCTACAGGTTCCTGTTTTCCCAGAAGGACTGCCAAGGTTGGGGCCTGTCAAGGTCCCCTCCAGGTTTGGTGTCTCTATATCCACTCTGGAGCCTTTAACTGCCACTTGAGGCACTTTAACATTACCTTTCACCCCAGGAGCAGAAACTTTAATATCTCCTTTCAGTTTAGAGGACCCGAAGCTCAGATCTATGTCCTGCATAGAAATTTTAGGTTTTTGAATAATCATTTCAGGAGTCTTGACTTTAGCACCTTCCATCTTCCCTTCCAGCCCACCAGTAGCAATCTCAAGTGGACTGACATCCCCAGAGACCCCAGGAAGAGTCACTTCACCTGTGGGCATGGTCACCTTAACGCCAGCTCCCTCTCCTTTTGAACCAGATACAGAGAATTTGGGGACTTCCATTTTGGGCACATGCATTTTGCTCCCAGGCCCATGAACATCAACATCAGGAACAGAAACTTCCACATTAGGGCCAGTGATGCTGCCCTCAATTTGGGGAGCAGAGGTGTGTACCCCAATGTCCCCCTGTGGCTTGGCACCTTTCAAGCCTAGGTCACCTTCAAGTGATGGCTCAGTGATTTGGGGGCCCTTCAGCTTCCCTTTAAGCCCCTCAAAATTGGCAGAGGAGGCACTGACTTCCGGCTGAGGGGCCTGGATGTTCCCACTGACAGTAATGCCTGGCCTGCTGCCCTGGTGCCCCATAGAGAATTCAGGTGCAGAAACACTTAGCCTGGCCTCTGGCACCTGGCCCTCAGGCCCTGTCGAGACACCAAATTTTGGTACCTTCACAGTGGGAATTTTAATTTTCTCATTATCATCACTCTCAAGGGATGGGCCCTGCACTTCCACTGCCCCACCCCCAAGAGAAGGTGAAACGTCCGCTACTGGTACTTGGACCCCTCCTCTGCCACCCAAGTCTATGCCCTTCGTGCTAACATTGACACTGGAGGTTCCCACCTTTATCCCAGGCATGGTGACCTGGAGCTTTGAGTGGCCAGCACCTTGGAGCTCTGGTCCTGAAGCAGAAATGGCCCCTGCTTGGATCTCCACAGCAGAGCCTGTGGCTGGAAAGACTGCCTCTGAGCCTGAGGGCAGTCTGATCACTGTCTTCCCTGACTGGGTCTCCACGTCCATGTTGGAGATTTCAGTCAGTTCATGCTTTGGGATCTTGATCTTAAATTCAGGGCTGCTGATGTCAATGTCCTTGGCTCCTTCTCGGCCAGTCACATCCACAGTGTAGGCCGTGACCCTTCTGGTCACTGTGATGGTGCGGCTCTGGGTCTCCCCAGGGTCCCCTTCCACTCCATCCTCCGACCTCAGCCGAGGCTTGATCTTCGTGGTGTAGATACGCTGGTACTCCTCATCATCCCCGCTCTGCAGAAAGACACGCCGGCAGAGGTTGCAGCAGGCTATGCCTAAGTTACCAGATGCCCGGCCACAGCCCAGACGACAACATGGGTGCCTGTTTCCCAGAGAAGCTGGGACCAGAACAGAGGTCCATGGAGCCTTCTGGGGCAGAGCACAAGGGACTGAAGAAAGGGGCTGACAGCCATATCACAGGAGGAAAACAGGAATTATTTGGGGGAGGGGGCATATTCCTGGACTGTGCAGTTTGGGAGAAGGATTTCTAATCAATTAGAGTTTCAAAATGGGATGCCACCCCAGAAGAACAGGTCCTTCAACTCCCAACTCTCAACCCACTGATTTATTTATTTAACCAGGAAGGGAATCTTCCCAGGGGCCCATCACACTCTGGAAAATACTTGTGGAGCCTAAAAGACTGGTTATACTTGGGTTAGTGCCCTCACTTGGAGGACTCACTATTTGCTAAACAAACAAGCCATCAGAAGGAAGCATTTTCCCCCAGGCACTTTCCTGCCCAGCTTTTGACTCACAGAATGATTTTGGGCCTCTCTGTAAGGAGAAAAATGGTTTCTGTGAGCCAGAGTTGGGCATCTGTGAGGTCATTTCTAAAATCCTTGCAAAGCAGCTGACCTTCCCCCTGGCATCTAGGACCAGGCTGCATGAGTCAGTTCCCACACTGTGGCCCAGGGCACTCTGAAAAGATTGATGGAAGACGCATAGGGCAGCATTAGCCATATGCCACACATGAGCAGGAACAGAAAAGCTGGCCAGGGGTTCAAGACAGGGCAGACAGGTGGGAGGAGGAGAAGGATTTTTAAGAGAAGTCCAGGAGGCAGACAGAAGGCTCGGGACTTAACCAACAGGCCAGTATGGCCGGGGGCAGCTCAGGGCACAGACAGGCCAGCAAGGCACTCACCAGAACCACTTCAGAGCTGCGGGAGCTGAAGACTTCATGTGTCCAGGTCTGGCCAGGCTCAGGGGAACGGTCCCCCTTGCGGTGCAGCTTCAGGCCCACCGTATGGTGCCCCATGGTGTTTAGCAGCTGGGTCACCTCGCCTGACTGCAGGTTGTCAAAGTAGATAGTGGCACCCACAATCTGGTCCCCTGGGCAAGGAGAGGCAAGAGCAGGTAAGACCCACAAGATCTCAGGAAAACAAAACAGCCACCATATGCTGGGCACTTGTACTGACTTGCATTTAACCCTCTTAACCACCCTGCAAGATGGAGAGGGTAATACCCATTGTACAGAGGCTTAGATAGGCCAACTAATTTCCCCAAATCTGCAAAGCTCATGGGCAGTGGATTTGGATCTGAAGACTAGGCCCCCCTACCCGACACAACGGCCCCTCCTGAGGACCACAAGCAAGGGATACAGAGTGGGCAAGGGAGGGAAGGGCTTAGGTACTGACCATCCTGATGCCACTGGGACCAGGAAGCCCAATTCTCCACTTCTGCCTGCTCCTTGCTCCTGTGCGTCCTTCTGGCACCCTCACCTGCCCCAACCCCCAGCATCCAGTCAGCACTCTGGGGTGACTCACCCTCCTTGACCACCCCAGTGCGGGCCGCAGGGGAGTTCTGCATCACCTCCTGTACATAGACACCGTCATCCCTCTGGGTGATGGTCAGCCCGTGGGAGCCGCTGCCCTGCCAGTTGGGCAGCAGCAGTTCCCGGGTTGTCTCTTCCTCCTTCTCCATCTGGGATGAGGTGAGAAAATGGAGCTCAGGTCAGTGGGGATGCTAGGACACAAGGGGATGAGAAAACCATGAACTTCTGTGGTGTGAACTTGCAAAGAGTGGAGCACTCTTTCTGATGCACCTGCCCCCACCCACCTGCCTCACGTCTGTCCACTGTGGGCATTCTCCCAAGGCACAGCGGAGAAGACAGAATGGAGACCAAGAGATGACCAGCCCCTTGTCCCTTCAACTGGGCCCCAGCCTCCCCAAACCACTTGGGATCCCCACATGCCCCTGTCCCAGCCCTCCCTTCTCCTACTGACCTTTGCAGGATTCTGTTCTGGAGCGGATGCCTTGCCAGGAGCCCGCCCCTCCTTCCTCTCTTCCCCTCAGTCTCTCTTGTCAGGAATCTCAGTCACACAGCCTAGAGAAAAAGTTCCAAAGATGTTCACACCGGGTGGTCAGCTTGCTTGAAACCCCCATATCAAGGTGTGGCTGGTGCTCTGTTCCCCAGAGCAGCCCACAACCCCCATCGCCACTGCCAATGATTCCTCTCATCCAGGGCTCTGCAGCCTGACATTGCAGAAAGGGGTTGTAGATCAGTTAACTTCTCTGAACCTCTGTTTCCTCACCTATAAAAATGGGGATGATAAAAGATTCACAGGAGAGGGGGGCACGCGTAGCTCAGTTGTTAGGGCAACCAAATGCACTGGGGCTGGTGGGTTTGAACTCAGCCCAGGCCTCCTAAAAAAAAAAAAAAACAGCTGGGTGCTGTGGCAGGCAGGCACCTGTAGTACCAGCTATTAAGGAGGCTGAGGCAAGAAAATCACTTGAGCCCAAAAGTTTGAAGTGCTGCAACAATACAGCACTCTACCAAGAGCAACAAAGTGAGACCTCTGTCTCAATAAAAAAACAAAAAAGATTCTCATGAGGATTGAAGGAGAGAGAAAAGAGCACAAGTGCATCACAGGGGCATGCAGGAGCCTCACAACACTCATGTTCTCATGATGTTCTTCATGACAGCTTTGGGAAGGAGATGTTACTGTCTCCATTTTATAGATAGAGAGACAGAGCCTCTCAGCGGCTGACTTGCCTTGGGTACACAATAAGAGCACAGCTACGTGAAACTCATACTTTGTACCACATCAGGTCTGCAACTTTTTTTTTTTTTTGAGACAGAGCCTCAAGCTGTCCCCCTGGGTAGAATGCCATGGCATCACAGCTCACGGCAACCTCCAACTCCTGGGC